AATCTAATAATTAAAATTTCAATGGGCAAAAAATTACTAAAAAAAATTAAAATGGGCAAATCTCCAAATTAAATGGGCAATTGCCCATTTGCCCCCCCCCCCCCCTGGATACGCCGCTGCGCGTGCCCACGCATGAAGTCTATTACAATTTTCACATGGATTATCTTCTAAAACCAAGTCTTAATTTCGTATTGAAAATTTGAATACCGTCTCTCTAAGACTCCGTATTCACCGATTGTTTAACAACAAGCTGTTGTTACGTGGCATCACTATACAAATACGACATGATTAAATCTAAATTTTAAAAGAAATAAAACACAGTTCAAACGACCAATTGATTTACTCTTCTTGCAAAAATAGAGAACATTAATGTAATATCTATATAGAATGAGAATCGAATGAAAAAAATCCATTAACTTCTTCAATCCATCGTGGAATTTCTTCAGTCATTTATTTATCAGTTATACACAATGATGAAACAGGGTTTACTTTACTCTACGTGGCTTTTTAAGTTATTTTTTCTATTTAATTGTCGAGTGTTTATATTTTACGAATGCACAAGAGCAAAACTAATAATAATACAGTTAAATATATAAACGTAATCCCATTTTGTTTGTCAAAAAAGCATACACTATTAGATTTTTTTAATAATAATGATTTTTGTCCTTTTATTGCTCTATTAACAGTAAACGTTATAAAATGTCAAGGTATGTATAGAAATAATCATCCACTATACTAATTGTAAAAATCCCATTGCATATTTTCAGAAATACTAAAGTTCATGACACCATAATTTCACATCAACCTAATCATCCTCATTATGGAGTAGGCCATCACCCAGAAGTGGAGAAAGTTGGATTTGAAGATGCAAGAGGTTGGATCTTACGTGACACTTGGACAACACCACTAGTGAATTGCAAATGTCCAGATAGTAAAGATTTTTTTCTTACTTTACGATCATACTATGCATTCTCGACTCTATTTTAGTTTTAAAGGTTTGCTGTTGTTATCCATGTACGGTCTGCTCACTCATGAAACGAAGCGGTGAAAATCCAGCGAGTTGTCTATTATGTTGTATAACTATGTGCGGATTACGAATAAAACTTCGCACAGCATTTAGAATCAAGGTATTTGGATATTGTTCTTTTTTACTACTTCTCGTCTACTATAACGTCTTATGATAAACCGATATCAAGACCTAGACACATTTCTATGCCGGTACTAATATAAAATTATTGAGTATGTTTTCTCTTTTTCAGGGTACAGTGTGTAATGATTGTGCTGCGACTATATGCTGCTGTATAGCTCCGTGTGTAGCACTGCAAATGAAAAATGAACTTGAAAATCGTGGATTAGCCCCACGCGCTCCTGTTAAACCTAAAATTGAGAAGAAAAATAAAAATAAAACTAAAAATACGGCAACGGTATCATCGCACGAACATATGAATTACGACTAACAATACTATCTGTTCTTTCAGCTCATTAAGTTTGATCGTTTTCAATATGATGATTAGAAGAATACTTCGTTTTGCTTTCATATAATACCTATAAAAATTCAATTTTTTTAATAAAAATAAACAACACTCAAACTGTTTTTTTCCAAAATTATTTTGTCACTCTGTGTTTTATACCAATAAGGCAAATATGACTACGATGTGCAATATAAAGCAAATTTCTCTGTACTCAAAAATATTTATATTTTCTGAAATAATTGATATACATATGCCTAATCTGTTTAGTTATCACTTTGTCTTCAAGGATCGTTCAAGAAAATTTTTTTCTTTATTCTATCATACAAAAAAAAACTTTACATTAACATCCAAAATAAGAAGAGGAAAACACAAAAAAATGAAAGTATCTGAGTTATTTGGACTCATATCACAAGCAGCAAGAAAAATAGTTCATTCAAGCAAAAAAATACTTCTATTTTCTACAAAATAGCACTTTTAAAAATAAATCATCTTCATTTGTTTTGTAATACTATTTACAAGCAACATGAATAATCACAATTGACACATAGAATAATAAATGGTGCTTGTCCTTGATCATCCACAAAAATGGAAGATAACACCGTATCTGCACAAGTACCTTGTTGAGCATGTTGAAAATAAATATCAGACAGTATGTGAACTGTACCATTAAATATTGCTAAAAAAATGAGAAAAATGTGGCTGTTTAAATTCTACCGCAGTTCCCTGTTCCAATCTCTACTATTGATTCGTTTATAAATCTTTTCTAATTTAAGAAATTACATGAATTTCTTTACCTGGATCTAACTGATATTTGAATTGACATTGTTTACATAAAATTGTTTGTTGATCCTGTTCTAAAGTAATCTGCGAACATTTAGGACAACGAATAGATGCTGATGACTCAAAATTATAACGAAGATAATTTTCATCCTCTTCATCTGGAAGGAGTGGTAATAATCGTTGTTCTTCTTCTTGTAATTCACGTTGGATATCTGAAAAACGGAGAAAATAATAGCAAACAACAATAAGCAATAATAATTTGATTCAAAACTCGTAGAAAAATATTCGTTCAATGTAATAGGATAAAATCAGACATTTTAAATAACTATTTTATGTAGTGCAGATTGATGAGGTGTTTACCTTCAAATAATTTTATATTGGCATCAAAATCAATAAAATCATCTTCATCAGCGCCATCACAGTCCATTTGAGATGAATTTTGACGACGTAAACCATGACGAGAACTTGTAATGTCATAACCAAATAATTTACGCCATTCTTGTTCAGCTATCTGACGAACAGAAATTGGTGTATCCTGCTGCTGCTGACTATCGATGTTATCACTGCCATTTGACATGCTACAATTGTCAAACTAAAAACATATGAAAAGCAATCTTTAACAATTCCACATAGTTCAAAAATTTTGAATAAAGAGATCAAGTTTTTTCTTTTTCTTAAACAGATAAAAACGCACTCAAACGTTGTAATTCACTTTTCTAATGCGAAAAATAATAAATGGATAGATAATATAAGTTAATAAAACTTAAGTGCTGATTTATAATGTGTAAATCTCAATAGTGAACATGAATAAAAACTTAGCAAGTAGTTTGTGACGTTTCTGAAATCACGGAACTCTGTTTAAAAATCATAGTCACACTGAGTTTAGCTCTTCTCTAACTTACTGATAACTTTCTCAATTTATTAACCATTTTTTCTCTTGATTTTCTAAATTCTTGTTTACAATGTTGTCTGTAACGCTCTTTCCATGTTACATCATTACGAATTGTTGGTGATGGCATTTTATACATTGACTGGTGAGAAGACCCACCGAGATTATTAATACGTGAGGGTGACATTATCGAAGTTGAACTTGTCATTTTTTCTGCTTATTCTAGTTTTTTAAACTAATCTAAAATAATAATGAAACGAAAAGAATTGAGGACGAAACTGGATCACTACAGTATTGAAGATTACACTTTTTATTTATTTATAATTTATAATTTTCTTCACAAAAAGTGTTGCATGCAAGTAAATAAAATTGCATATTTTTCTGTTATTACATTAGAAACACATCTTCAATAATTAAGAAAGAAGGAAAGAGAAAAGTATATAGTCCAGCCATAAATCAATCTTAATGTTCAAAGTTCTCATAATGAATACGTAGAAAACCTAAAAGTAGTCTGTCCACAAAGCCCATTTGTGTGCATTTTCGTCTCCTCCAGCTGTAAATCTTCTAGCTTAGGTGTCAAAGCAGTACTGCGTTCCACAAACATGTGTTAAACTTTATATAGTTCACTGATTCTATCAACTCTTCATCAAACATATTTCATGTACTATAACATCAGAAGATCCTCGTTGATCCATACGAAAAAGCCGTTTTTTGTTGTATTTATTTGTTGTTTAATGTTTGAACGAAAAAAAAAGAAAAGATGATTTAACAAAAAACAGAGAGAACATTTTTTCGCGCATTGCTTATTTTTTGGAAAACAGTAGCAGTTACTTGATAGGAATGTATGTACATTAAAAAGCGTAAAAGTAATGAAAACGATGACAAAAAGAATAATAAGAGTTTCTTTTTATTGTCGTTTTTTGCTTTTGCCGTCAGAAAATATAAATAAAGTCAACATAAACAAACACGCGCACATCCAAGAAAAACTGTCAAACGTAAAATAATCAAACTCTGAGCCTATGACAGAAAGAACAAGAGAGAAATAAAGAATCAGTTCAAAATAAAATGAATCATTAATCATAAACGATGAAGTGTTTCAATATGTTAACCTTCAATATTGTCAAAATGACCTTCAATATGTTCTTGTTTATTATTTAAAGTTAAATTTGGTAAGAATTTCATGTTACACATTGGACACTCTTTAATTTCATCAGAAAAATCTGTGGCAGGAACTGAATCAATATCACTTTCCAACAATAATGCAGAGCCAACATCTAAGACGAGAAAAGAAATAATATGATGATTAGGCGAAAAAAAGAATTCTTATCAAAACTTTTAGAGTTTTCTAATGAAAATTGATCTATTTTTCAGTCCGAATGATTTGTCTGAACTGATTTCACTTATGAAAAAAATAAATCACCGTTCTATACGTACCATCTAAATCTAGATCACTTTCATACATGGAGGACTGTGCTTGATCATCATCATTAATTTGATCTTGACTATATCTTTCACCTACAACATTGAAAAAATGATGCACGTTACTAATTGACGTGGAGAATGCGTATAATGACGACATGTTTCTTAACTGAAAGTCAAGAAATAATCATGTAACAAAGAAATTACTCACGTAACAAATTCATTAACATTTCTTCATTGATACCAGTTTCATCTGACATTGTTGTTGTTTTTTGTGATTGAGCTAAAATATATGATTGTTGTTCATCGTTTTGTTCGACAAATTTTTTTTCAGCATCCCACACAAGATCTTTAACAGGACATGTTGTGGATAAATCGGATACTTGTGTTGATGGTATTTGAATTGGATCAGCCATTTTCATTTTTGGCAGTAGATCAGACATCACTGCTGACGATATTAATTCTTTGTCATTAATTAATAAACTACCACTATGACGTTGTACTTGTAAAAATTCACGATAAATATTTTTATATTCACAACTAGCCTCATGTAGACGATCACGCAATTCATTTATTTCATTTTGTTGCTCACGCTAAAAAAGAAAGAAAAAAAGAATTTTTTTTTTGAGTGACAAAAGAGAAATGGCCATTGTATAAGGTGTGCAAAAATTTTTCTTGTATCTATGAAATTATAATATCTGTCAAGTATTATTCGAAGGAACAAATCAAAAAAGTTCAACTTACAATATGACTTTTTAAAACGTCGACTTGTTTTTTATACTGTTTTTCTTGTTTTTGATGTTTTAAACAACGTTTTTCCACAACAGAATAAGACATTTTTAGAGTATTATGAGACTGTTGATTTGATTTTAGTTCTTCTAATTCTGTACGAATTGATTCCAAATCACTTTTAGCCTAAAACAAAAAAAACAATACAAAATTGAATCTTATTTAAAAAAGAAAATCAATGGCTTTCTCTTTATTACCTGTTCCATTTGCTGTTGAAATATTTCTTTTTCACATTGTTTGGAATGATAACGTCCTTCTAATTCTATCAACTTTTCATCTTTCTCTAGACATAAACATTCCAATTGTTGATTATCTCGTTGTTTTTCTTTTAATTCATTTTTTAACATTTCATTAGCAACCGTCAATGTTTTTATTTGATTCTCGACTTGTAAATATTTTTCATTTAACTCTATTAATTTTTGTTCATAAGTTGATACTAAACCGTAGTTATCCAATGATAACTGTGTACATTTTTCACGCTCAATATCAATTTGTTTTTGCATCGATATCATACGTTTTTCATAAGTCATTTTCATATCACCTAAAAATAAGCAGACAATTTATTCTTCTATTCTTTTAATTGAAAGTGGCAAAACTGCCCTGTGGTTTGTAACGACATTATTGGAAAAACTAACCCTGTCCAAAAAATTATAAACCGAGGCGAGAAAATGTATACATTATAGGGAAACTGATGATGAGCAAAAATATCTATTATTTTTAAAATATTTCATATTTATTTATTTATTTTCAGACATTTAGTTGTTGTCACGATATAAATAATGAATAATCCACCATCAAATAACGAAAAAGACTAATATGATCATTGTGTATGCAGAAGAAAAAGAGACAAATCGCATAATTATTAAAAAATTTATTAATCCTATACCCCTATCGGATCACTGGAGTGACCATTTGTAGAAATGTTGCAGAAAACAAATGAAGCATCAAACCCAAAACCTTTGAAGACGTTATTTTTAGCAAATTCTGCAAGCTATCGATGGATGAGAAAAACATTTTTTTCCGTCACTCCGTCTTTAAGATGTATAACAGAAAGCTGATAAGTTTGAAAAAATCAAAAAATATAAACTTTGTTTTTTTGCATCCATTTTTTTTTACCTACTTGCACCTAATCTTGTATGATGTGCATTTTACCCCAGAGAGAAACAGCTGATTTTTGGATTTTTTCGATTTCGATCCATTTTTTCCGATTTCCTTTGATTTGTTTGGGAAATCAAGTAAAGAGACTGCAATAAATAGTGTAGAATCCGCTTTATTTGTACAAAATAGGAAGCAGACATAGTGAAAGTAAAGAAATGTTAATGTTACTTTTTACTCATTTGCATTACGGAATTTTCATCAATTTTCAGTGATTTTTCCGATTTTCGATTTAAACCGATTTTTTAAGCTCAAAAATCAGCTGTTCTCCGCCTTGAATTTACGACATATTCAGCCTGTTTGTGCTTAAATATAAAGACAAGATTGCATTTTTACTAAAAAATTGAATTTTCCAGTTGTTCTCACCCTAGGGTCACTGGAATGATCAAACTACCGCGCCTAGAAGGCATCTGTCGGATCTGATCATATTGTCAGCACCGAAAGATCAATGCTCTATTGTAATGGTTGTTTTATCAGTAGTGCTCCTGGAACCGCTATGGGGAATAGAGGGTTAAAATACCGAAAACTATCCATTGCATGCGATGCAAGACGAATTGATAGTGTCCATTCCACAATTATTTGTTTGTTTCTTAATTTATCACTCAATTTCAATTAAATTGTAGACACGTAGTAGAAGAAATTTATTTCACATTATTCATCTGCAAAAAGCGCAAGAAAAATTTTTGTTTTTAATCGAGAGTCACTTCAGAGATCTGGAGAAAACTGCAAATGTTTTTAGTATGTTTTAGAGAAACTCGCAAAGATTTTGTGTATCTACTTTTAGTATTTGTTACTCTTAACTTACCAATTTGTGTCTTCTGTGCTATGCACATTTGTGTTTGTTGTTGTAATTTTTCAATTGTATCATCGTAAACAAGTTGATCTTTTTGAGCCTTTGTTTCCAATTCTTGTTTAATATCTTCCAATTTTGAGAGTTTCGATGCATATAACTGATTTGTTTCAATTTGTATTTGACAAAGTTCACGACATTTCAAATAATCAGATTTTAACGAGATTTCATGTTGACTATAACTTTTCAATTCGCCAATGAGAGATGCACATTGTTTTTCCATGGCCTGAAACAAACAAGATAAATTAACTATAAAAATTCGTTTATATCTCTTTTTAAAATTACATACGATAATATCTTGATTCATTTTATTGATAATTTCGTTTGATTTCATTTCAATCTGATCTATTTGCATTTTTAATTGATCATTTTCTTTTTCTAATTTTCGATTTATTGATAACACTTGTTTATAATCATTTTTTAGTTTTTTTTCTTTGAGAATATGCTTAGTTTGAATCACAATAAAATCGGAATCATCTCCATTTGTTTCACCATTAATTAAATCGATAGTAACTAAATCATTGCCACTACGTTTATTTACAGCATGAGTCGAATCATGACCTAAAAGACATGGAAGAGAACGTATAAGAGTCAATGATACTAAGAGAAATCGCTCTAAAATTCGAATATTTCTCTATTTCATTACATTTTGTTTCAAGAAATTTTTTTCCTACAGATGTAGTTTAATCTCTCTCTTCCATAGTCTATGAAAATAGTGTACACAGTGGCTATTTCGTAGCTCAATACTAACCTTGATTGTGTTCATCGTCTCCACTGAAGTCACAAATATCATCATCTAAACAATTTAATTGAAATGGTATCGAAGAACCAATCGATCGATTTGTTGATGAGAGAATATAACAAAATTGATAAAATTCTTCATCAGATTTTGGTAAAGAATCGTTAGGAAATATTGCTTGACCTGATATACCACCATTTGATTCAGATAATATTTCAGGTTTTGCGAATGCAAGTGAATCTTTTACATTTGTACAACCGACCTAAAAATCATATAAATAGAATATGATATATGTATAACAAATGAAATAAAACAAATTATTGAATATTTTCGAAAAATTCAATTATATATTTTTTAATTAATATTAGAATTTGTTATAAAAAAACTTACTCGAAATAAGCCAATATTGTCGTGTTCACTTGTTTTAATATCTTTTAGCAAATAAAAATAACAGCAAATATTTTGTCCTTTTAGGTATTGATCACGGACATTTTCAAATACAACTTGATCATCCAACGATGATACATTTAAATTACTGGTATCATTACCATTGCCGGACATTTTTAATACACCCGACTAAAATCAAGGTTATCGTAATACAAGGTGTAAGTAATCTATCTAAAAAGAAGATATGAGAAAAAAGCGTTAGTGAACGTTATATATTGAAAAGTGAATTAAAAACTATAGAATAGCATTAAAAAGTGACAAAGATCTAGAACACTCGAGAATTTTGCGGAAATGAAAAATTATTGGGAATCGTAAATTACGAATAAATTTTAAATACAACGGTTTTACAGGTTCAATATGTAAATCAGAGGGCAAAACAAAACTCGAAAAGTTGAGTATAATTTATCCAAAAGATTTATTTCGACCATGTAAAAGAATATCCACTGAATGTGATATCACATACTTTTCAAAAATAACCCTCATACATTTATTTTTATCATGTCTATCATGTGTTCTAGCACGAACAACATACGCTGAAGAAAAGTCACATATTGGATAAATGAAAGTTTTACAAACGTTGCATTTTTTTTATGAGTGTTTTATTAACAGGCAATCTGTGTACACACGGTTTGTCTTAGTATTTACTTTAATATTAATCAGTTTTGTATTTTTTTTTCTTTTAAAAGTAATGCTGACTAAGAGACAATACAAGTGGGAAGTGAATACGGATACAGTTAACCTTCTCGAACACTACATGAAAAGAAGAATAACATATTTTGACGATAGATACAGTTAAGGACTGTATCTATCGCTCTACTGTATTTGCTCTACTGTTGAGAGCAAACTCTAGAAATGGAATTCTCTTGTAATGTACATTTACATGATTCATATGTGACGCCGCCCCTCGACTCCGTTTTTGTCAAATCTGATTGGTACTTTATATCGCTGCCATGATATGAAATTAAATTACAGAAAATGAAGTTAGTCTGGGATGACATAGCATATAAATGTGACTTTATGTTGCCATTTTTTGTAGAGCATCAACGAGTAACCAGTGCCCATAGCATACCCTCTGTTACAGCAAATAATGTAAAAATAGTAGACATTAGCGCTCCCGTTGAATTGAAATTGTCATTTTTTGGCGTTTGTTTTATAACTTGCCAAGAATCTTTTCGAAAATAATATATATATATCAAGAGTATTGCCCTGCATTCTAAATCTTGTATACGGTGGTATAGAAGTTCTAATCATGGCCGAAAAGGAGCAGATATATACACACTGGAAAAAAGAAAGATAGCTGAAATACCTAAAATAGATGGTCACGTGTTTAATCTAGATACCTCGACCATTTCTTTATTCATCAAAATATCAGAAATTCAGACACATGAACCATCTTGGTTAGACACAAAACGAATGATTTTAGCCACGTACGCATCTGGTTTTTTTCCGATTGGTCATTTTAATCCAATCTGTCATATTGTTTTCAAGCGTCTTATGTACACATTTTGAGTATCCGAAAATCAACGTATGTCTGTTTATATCTGAAATTCAAAAAAAAACTCAAGAAAATAAGCAAATTTTGTTCAAAACAAAAGCTTTGAAGATCAAAAATGACTTCGATCTTCAAAGTCAGCTTCCCTTGAACAAAAGAAGTCACTTCAGTTTTTACTTGAATGCCAGCTGCAAACAAACAGATGTTTGTCTTCTGGACTCTGTGGAAGTTAAAAAAAGTTTCTTGAAAAATAGAATTGGTTTCTCACCCTATAACTCAAAAGACAAACAAAATAAAACTTCTATGTGAAAAAAGCAATCCAGAAATCAACTTTTGTGTGACATGCAAGGCAAAGCATGCGTTTCCTTTCTCTCTCAAAGCCCATTTAGGCTTTTATCCTCCTGAAAGTATGCTCGATCCTTCTCCTTCTAAGAATAACATGTAAATCAATTTTTATAGATGAAAAAAGAACTAGTTCGAGCCACGTAATTTTTTCCGTATTTCTTAAACAAAAGGTTTCAGTACAACGCAAGAAAACAAAATGCATCATACCAAAAACTTACATCGGTTTTTCTTATTTTTATAAGTTGTCATTTGTTGTTTCATTTAAACCGTGTTCAAACTATAATAAATCAAAATAAGAATAAATGCCCGTAAATAGATATCTATAAATAATGGAAAATTTATTCTAACTTGTTTATTGTAGTCTGAATACGGTCCTACAAATAGCGAAACCAATTGAGCGATTCTGCGACGTAAGTACCATGACATGAAAGCAAACCGAATTGCCTACGCTCTTCCCCGGACGTGTACGTGCTTGTATACGCCCTGGAAGGAGGATGTATAATTAAAGTAGAAATAGATGCACTGTCAGATACCTTTATAATCGCATACTTTTATTCAGCTTGGAAAATAACAAGGATTAAACATGCATTATGACTCTGAAAAGATCCAGAGTAATAACTTGATGAAGAAATCGAGCGCATCATCAAGTCACAGATGTCTTATTTTCAGACACTCCAGCGTCTTAAAACCAGATCAAACACTTGCGCATCTAGCTAGACACAAGGCATTTATTACAGTGTATATACATTCAATGGTGGAGTTAGACGCAAAAGTTAGAGTTTGGCGTTTTGGTCCATGGTCTGATGTTTCAGTGTATCTGCTCTAATGACACGAATGCACCTCAAACTTCAGTGTGCTCAACTGAAATTTTGAAATTTTGAAATTCAGACTGAAAAGATAAAAGATTTTATTTGCAAAAAAAGAAATTTTTCGATTTCGGTTACAGCTGTCAAGTTGTGTTCTTGGCGAATATCTTTACAACTGCTCCTGTACTGAAAAAAATTTCTGTTTTGCAAATAAAATCTTTTATCTTTTCAGTCTGAATTTCAAAATTTCAGTTGAGCACACTGAAGTGTGAGGTGCATTCGTTGCTCGTGCTTCAGTTCTCAAAATTGAAATTCTACGTATACCGAATCCATTCTAGTGAAACTTCAAGTGTTAAAAAAACGTTGTGGTTTATACACGAACTATTATAATTGTTTTTGTAATCATTTGATAAAGTGTTAAAATCATTGTGAATTGTCTCTTTCAGATTATACCGTTTCTGCTAACAATCATATTTCTTACTTAAATATTTAATAAAAAGAAACTTAATCATGGTAGGTTAAACGCATGTAAAAGATCTAAGAGTTATTGTCTATTTTTCTTTTTTTTCTCTCTTAAGGGGAATATGACATCGATACCCGTTGAATTATGCGCAACTTGTATGTCCATTTTTCACATATGAGGGCTTTATAGTATATGTCATTTCATCTTTCTATTCTAGTTGATGCGGATGAAATTCGTCGGCTAGGAAAACGTTTTAAAAAGTTAGATATAGACGGTAGTGGATCACTGAGTGTTCAAGAATTCATGTCTATACCTGAATTACAACAAAATCCATTAGTACAAAGAGTTATTGACATATTTGATACAGATGGAAATGGAGAAATTGATTTTAAAGGTAATATAATCAACGTATTCTTACTCAAAATCAGAATGCATGACATTTTATCTTATTTTGGTCTCAATATCTTCAACAGATTGATCATCAATCTAAATTTCTAGAAGAATAAAATTGATTGGGTTGTCGAAATAATGTAGTTAAATATGTAGGACTAATTGATCTAGATAATAAAACATAATAATAACAGCAATTATTTAATGAGAAGAAAAACAACCTTTTAGAATTTAAATTTCATTTTAAAATCATTATATATTTAGAATTTTTGAATGGTTTATCAACGTTTAGTTGTAAACAATCAGATAATAATAAATTAAGCAAATTAAATTGTAAGATAAATGTATTTAGGACAAAACAAACAAAATGCTGCTCTCATATAGATTGTCTGCTCTTAACTATAATTTTCACATATTTGATGGTGATCGTTATTTCAGTTTGTGCATTAATTCTATTTAGAATTTATTGGTGGTATATCACAATTTAGTGTTAAAGGTGATAAAGAATCAAAATTAAAATGTAAGATTATTCGCTTTATAGTATAGTTTTAATTCGACTTAATTTTGCTTATAACAACAAATAATTTTTTTAAGTTTATACTAGACAAAATTATCTTCCTTATTTTTAGTTGCATTCAAAATTTATGATATGGATAAAGATGGATTCATTTCAAATGGTATGTATAGCAGCATGTTAAACAATGTTTATATTGTTTATTTTAAAAATTTTTGTTCATATTTTAGGTGAATTATTTCAAGTATTAAAAATGATGGTTGGTTCAAATTTAAAAGATTCTCAGTTACAACAAATTGTTGATAAAACAATAATAAATGCTGATAAAGATGGAGATGGAAAAATTAGTTTCGATGAATTTTGTGCTGTAAGTCAATGCATGTCTTATCTGTTTTCATTGTTTATTAGTTGCAACGGTATTTGTTTAATTTTCAAACATTCAAAAAGAAAAAACAACAACAAAAAAGAAAAAAACTAATGAATCGATCATGAATGTTTTCTCTATATGCTTTAGTTTCTTCCTACATATGAATTAAATATTCAAATTCCGCCAATTTAAGAAAGAAGTAACAAAAATAACACGAAATTTTCATGCACATAGTGGCAAAAGAAAGAAAAAAACAATCCATTTTAGTACGAAAAAAATAAAACTAAATTAATTTTATTTATATTAGAATGAAAGATGAGTAAATATCTAATATTTAATTTGATTTATTATCAAACCAATTAGAAAAGTTTATTTTATTCGTACTCTAATTGGATATTTTCTTATTTTGCAAAGATGTAATCACTGACGTCTATATGTTTCTTGGTGGAATATTTTTATTTTATCAATCTAGTGTCTCCTTATTCTTTAGTTAAATTATTTATTATTTATTTTTTGTCCAGTAGAAAATACATGATATAGCGGATCACTTGTTCAAATGAAATAGATCGTTTATTTCTTGCCATGGTAATATAATTGAATAGAGAAAATATGAATATTTTTCTAGCCATTCTCTAAAGTTTAACGATCTCATATGAACACAACGTAGTTAAAATATTGTATTAGAATATATATAGATAATTTTTATAATATCTATGGATTTATCTCTCCTTCTAGTGTATTGGTGATCCTCTTTTAATCGATATGTCAAAAAAAATGACTATTATTGTTTGAGAAGAACGGAAACAGGCATATACACACACTTTTATTTTTTCAAAATTTTCTGCCATTTATTTGTTTGTGTCTGTCTGTCTGTGGATGTATTTGTTTGTGGCATCACATCTGTTAAGAGTTATGTGCAAATATAAACGAGTCCAAATAAAAAGTTGAAGATCTGAAATAAAATGAATATTTCATTTATTTCAGATTCTACTGCTTCTATTTGTCTGTTTTTATTTTACACTATTTGGTTTGTATGTCTGTGTACATGGCAGTCATTTTGTTGCTGTTGTGGTTGTAATTGTTTCACGTTTGTACCTGTGCTCACAGAACCTACCAACCCGAGTCTCAAATTCTACTAATATTCATAACAACTGAGATAGCAAAATTCGTCAACTGATCAGTTTCGATGAAAGAATCTAACAAAAAATAATTTCTTTAACTCTTTAATAGATGCCATAAAGTTCAATATAATTTTATTTTGATAAAAAAAAAACTTATAACTACAGCATCTCAGTTGGATTTTCGTATTTTTTTGTTTTATGCTTATCGTAAACATTTTATGTTAATTTTGAAGAAGCTTTTACACAAAAAATTGACTTTTTTAAAAAAAAATTGCCTATTTAACGGAAAAGAGGGAAGGTAGAGGCTGAAATGACTTATGTGGAGAGGAAAAGCAAGCCTTTTACGTAATACATATCAGAAGGTTATTTGCATGGTACCCTTAGCACTTTCAATTGTTTGTTTTAGTTGTTTGAATATTCTAATTTTGATCATGTTTATAAACCGATTTTTTTTCTTCTTTAGTGTGTTGGAGATTCACTTATATCAGATATTGAAAAGAAAATGACTGTTACCGTATGAAGACAAAAAACACAAAAACATGATCAAGCGTGACGCTGATAACAACACATTTTTTTTCCTTCTGTTTTTGTGTGATTTTTAAACTGATATGATTATTTTTATGCTGACAAAAATATATGTTTTTTCTTTTGTTTTTTTCACTGAATCTCTCAAAAAACAACCTACGCACATATACACACATATATACACACAGACGTATTTCCATTTTGTAGGTTTTCTTCTCTTCCGGTAATCTGCTCAGTTATATGAGGCAATAACATGTTGTTGTTTTTGTAATTGTACTACAGGAGAGAAATTCCCAAATTGAAAACACATTTTTAAATTTATTCTCTTATGCTTATTTTTTTCCTTGTGTGTGCATTCCCATAACAGTATTTTTTTTTTTTTTGTGACAAATATAAATTAAAGTAATCAACTTTTTTACCCGCTGTTTTCTATATTTATGCTTTATAGAGATGATTACATTTTTTTTCTCTTTCTCATCTGCTGCACGATCTCTGTTATCTCGAAGTGAAAAATGCAATGTTTTAGATGTTGTTTGTTTGTCTCTTTGTTCATTAAAATTATTTATCGATATTTTTTTTCTTCTGCTGCTACTTCTTAACAAAAATTTCTACTACTCAGCATGTTGAGAAAGAATTTATAACTACAAAATAAAAATGAAGATAAAATAACATGATCTATAGTGCTCTACGTGTACTACGTTTCAAGTGGATAACAGTGATCAAGATTGAACTTATTCTCATTCTGCATTTCACCTTTTTTTTCATAAATTTTTTGTTAATCGGACAATGTTGTTCAATGGAACATATCCTAAATTGTAGAATTCGACGAGCTGATTACGATAGCATAAAGCATTTTCCTCCACGGCTCTTGAAGATCTTGTTAAAAACAGGGTCTTCAAGAACCATGGAGGAAAATGCTTTATGCTATCGTAATCAGCTCGTCGAATTCTACAATTTAGGATATGTCCCATTGAAAAGTGAGAGTAACACTTGGAAAACTTCATTCAAACCAAATTGAAATTTATTTTAAAAAAATCAAATGTAATAATCTAAACTTTTTTACGTTATTTACTGCTCAAAATATAATCTTAAAGAATGTTTACTTCTGTTTTAAACAAAATCAGTGTGTTTTTTCTACATTTTTTCTGAGTTATGGAATGAGAGAAAAAAAGTATTTTCTCTAAGTTGTTTTCGGATGAGATACAATCGGTGTTCAACATGTCAATGGGCTACTACATAGACGTGTTAGCTGCTCTGCTAACACCGCCGTAGACGGAATTTGTTTTTGAAGTTTTTCGCCGCCGAAACTGATCCGAAACTTTTTTCAAAGCTTCTTTGAAGAAAATTTATTAAAAATTATAACTTTTTCCAAAAGTTTTCATGCCGCCGCCGCCGCCAAAGGTACAAACTTTTTTTTTAGTTTTTCGGCGCCACCGCCGATAAAGTTTTTAATTTGACACGCAGTCGCCGATAAAGTAATCGGCTAACACCTCTACTGTTATATAACAAATCTTTATGACAAAAAAAAGATTTTTTTCGGTTTGTAGATTATTTGTTTTGTAAACACTGCTTATAATTAAAACGTTACATTAGTATGTTACATATCTCAGGAAACCGTGATGAAGGACGGCACAGGTACATTAAACTTCAGATTTTTGAAACTTATGAACTTTATTTTTCTGTTTTTTTAGTTTAAATAAATCTCTGAAAATGAATGACAATGTTTTAAATAAATTGTTGTCGATCGATTCATCATTGCTGTTATCAAAGGTAAATTAAATAAGATATCATAGTTGGAAAAAATCATTGATTCAAATATTATATATTATCTACAAATGATGTAGTTTGAATTCTAAGTAGATCACATATATATTAAAGGCTTATCTTGTGTATTATTTTTGTTTGTTTTCTCATCTTAATTACCATATGTTATGTGGATTATTTCATAGTTTAAATCCACACGTAAATCTAATTATTTGTCTCAAATAACTATATCTGTTTTTATCATAGAACATTAGAGAAGTATTTAGATAATTTCTATATCAATTAGTGTGATTAAAATCAATATTTTATGATAAACGTTCTTTTGAGTATTGTTTATGCTAACAACTTTTGTCATTGCATTGATCATCAACATTATCTAAACAATGCAATCGTTCTTTACTACCTGAACTAAAAATATTCAAGTATTTGTGAATTAACTTTGGTTTAATCATAGAAAATGATGAAATATGTAGATGTATGATCCATACTATAGTTAAAAAATGAATGACTCTAAAGTATTTAATACAAGCAAATAGTAAAATTTGATTGACGTATAAACCAATGTCGCAAACAAACAAACATGAACAGAATAAAATCCTGATAGGTTCGATCCGAACTAAAACTGGATCATTCTGTGTAAAGTAGATGTTAATTACTGAAGAGGCACGAATAGTTACTGTATGACTGGTAACCAGTTATCGCGTACAGTTATGGCATTTAAGAATGCGCTGAGTACTGAAAAAAAAAGGTAAAAGTTTGCGTTGAAAGAATAAAGAAACACAACGTGCAAATGGTTTTAGATTTGCCAAGAAAAATATTTGCTTGATTTTACCTACCTTAAAATACGTATATTTTTAATGTTGATTATGAGTATGACATTCCTCCTATTGCTTTTCTATTTGAGTCTCAGAAATTCAGATCTCCAGAGATCTACTAAAGACTTTCGAATGAAACAATTCTAATACGATCAGATTGTAGAGCACGTCCCATTGTCAATCTATAACTACTTTCGACGTCAAAAGCAGTACACTCGCGTGCTTTTTGAATAACATTTGAACGAAATGAGCTAGAGAGATCCGGTTTTTACCATTCAACAACCTAAAAATGAGCTGAAAACTACTAGTTCCAGGTGATGTGCCTCCTCGGACAAAACATCCAACAGTGCCGTGGAAAGAATCCTAAATAAAATTATTGTTCTACATTTACACTTAGATAGAACAACATCTGTTCTACAAAACTACGTAAATACGGGACCTCTATCTTTTCTCGTT